CAAAATTACTTTAGCAGTCTTCTAAAGTAACTTAATAACAGTATATTATCAGTAATATTCATGTTCTTAATAACAGAACAAAGTAATTTCCTGAATCAATTACTAGAATAGAGCTGCTAAGAGAATTAGCTTGATAAAGCTCTAGAAGTAGCAGATTTTCTTGATAGTATTTATTTCACTAATTAGCATCAAGACTGTTACCAAAAATTGTTACTTTTTGATATATAAGTGCTGGACTTCTAACTATGAACAGAGAGGTAGGGGCAGAGGTTCTTCTAATTAAAGTTAGCCAGATCAACATCTTTATTAGCTTTATATCAATTACTCTTCTTCAGAGTTTATTTTTTTAATGTGGTCTTGTGCTGCTTCTCTCCAGCTGTACAAAATTAATGTATATGAAAAAAACTAACATCTTGTCAGTAAACAATGTGCACTAGAGCAGAATTCTACAAGCACTCATCTCTTAATATTACTCATTGTTGCAGTGCAGTTTGTTATATAGAAGAATATGAAGAGCAGTAAATAAATTAGCAGAGAAGGAGAGAATTATCAACATTATGTAAGAATTATATATGTAGATCAGCATGACAATGAATCTATTATCTATAAGAGAAATTGTACATAGATAAGAGTACATAAGGTAAAAGATCTGGTATTGGCAACTATATACAACTTGTAGACAAGATTGCCACTGGCTTTCAACAAGAGATTTGTGTAGTGGCAGTCTTTTATATGTGCTTGCAAGCACATGCTATAGTGTCTAACAAGAACACATGTACTGCTAACAGCTCACAAGCTGAGACTCTAGACCCTTACAGATGTTGTTTGTCCATGTAAGAAGTTCACAAGTGAATTCTTACACATTAGCTTTCAAGAAAAAGAAGAAGAAGAGAAAGAGAAAAAGAAGAGAAAAAAGACTAATCTTATATTATTATTCTGCAGCCAGTATAGCAATAACATGTTGAGCTTGCCTATAGCAACATGTCTGTAGAATGTAAACAATATGTATAGTAACCATTCTATACAAGTACTTAATCAATATACTTTATATTCTTATTATGCTGTAGCCAGCATAGCAACAATGTGTTGAGCTTGCCTATAGTAATATGTCTGTAGAATGTAAACAATATGTATAGTAACCATTCTATACAAGTAGTTAGTTAATACACTCTATAATTTCATTATGTAGTATCTTCAATTCAACTTATTACATATAATTATGAAGATAAAGCTAAAATAATATTTAATAAGAGAGAAGATCTGTGCAGTATTGTTATAAATTCTGTAGCACAACAGCAGAACATACAAGATGATTGGATGAAACCTGATAAAGCAGAATTATGAACTGTTACAGAAGAACTTTAAGATAAGAATCATGTCACCAGCAAGAGAACTGATAAGCTGACTGATTACACCAAGCATGATAGAATTGATTGAAGAATATAGCAAATGTATTGTGATAGAATAAATAAAACAGCTTAGCAGAACTATTATCAGAGAAGCATTATATATATAAGAACACTTATTATCAGAGATCTGATAAACTTGTTTATTGTAATTAATCTTCTTATTTATCTATTAGATATCTTTGGATCAGATACCTTCATATCTTGGTTACTTTTTATATTACTGAAGTCTTGTAATACTATATAACTGTATCTGATTCTGCTACTCTTAAGAAGACTCTATAGTCTTGCTCTAACTCTGTTACATCTGCATGAAAACTCTTTGTCATTAGAGCAAGACTGCTAGCTTAACTAAAGTACTATTAAACTATTAATTACTACTTTAATCTGTTATTACTTACTGTAATACTCTTTAACTCTAAAGATTCCAGAGTGTCACATGAATATACAACATATTAATCATTTCTGACTCAGAAGAGAATATATCTGAAACTTCAGAAATTATGTATAAAGAAAGAACTTTCTGCATCATATTAAAAGATAAAGATATGACTTCATTCCATGTTAAGATCTAATGAAATATAGAAACTATATCTGCATCCAAAGCACCAGCTATTAATGCTCAAGATCTTATAAATAGAATCTTGCAGCTTGAACAGATTACTGAGAAACTTGAAGAGCAGAACTGTAAATTAAAAGATCATAACAAGCAGATTGAGGCCCAGATTATAGTCATTCCATTCACCAGATAACAGAAAAAGAAAGATAAAGCTAAAGTTAACTTACCAGAACTCTTCAAGAGTGAATAGAGAAAATTATAAGCTTTCTTGAAATAACTATACATTTATATGAATATGAAAGACAAAGAACTTAACAACAACAAAGACAAGATAATAATGGCAGCATTATATCTTTACAGAGCAGTATTTAATTGATTTGATATCTATCTGTAAAATTACTATAAAAAAGATGAAGTCAATCAGAATGATAATATGCTCAAGATTATTAACAGTTATAATATCTTTATTTGAATATTGAAAACCACTTTTAAAGAAGTTGAGAAATGGAATGCAGCAGCTCAGCAGCTATATTATATACAACAAAAAATATCATTACAAGACTATGTCATGAGGTTCCAGCAAGACTGTATCAATATTGATTGAAATAATAAAGTCTTAGCTGACATCTTTTATCAAGAACTATTTAATGAGATCAAAAATGAAATAGTATAATTGGAGAAATAATCACACACTCTGATCAAGATAATTAAAGTGGCAGTCAGAATTAGAAACCAACTTTATAAATAAAAGATGGAAAAGCAAGAAAAAGCACTATAAAAGAGATTCAGCCTGTTAAATTATACTGGAAGTCAAAATCAGAGCAAGCAAGTACAACTAGACTCTTATAAATATACATCTATAGAGCTGGACACAACAAAAGTTAACACTCTTAATAAGAAAGAAAAGAAACAGAGAAAAAAGAAAAAACTATACTTCTACTATATCAAGCCAGAATATCAAGCAAGACAATATAGAGCAAAGAAGACAGATTAAAAAGACAAGAAACTCAGAGCAATCTTAAAGAAAAATAAAGAAGACTCTGAAGTCAAGTAGTACTTTTAAGTAACAACTTAGAAAGAGCAAATCAAAGAAGAACTTCAACAGCAGTTCAGAAAAATATTTGAAAAACAAGTAATGAAAGATTATCTGAAGCTACTCCAGCAATCTAAGAACAAGTCAAAATGCTGAAACAAGCTGGATAATAAACAATAAGAGTTATGTAAAGAATTATGCATGAGAATAAGAAATAAATCAAGTGATGATTAGAGAATTCAATCACTTGACTGTAAATATTATTATAGACAAAAGATGGATAAAATTCAAAACTTAAAGCACAAGAAACATGCTCAATATCTGATTTATAGATGTTCATGCAATCTTCACCAGAAATAACAAGAAGAGTTTAAATAATAAATGTAAGTTATGAAAGACTTCATGTATTATAAAGACTACAAATATAATATTAAAGATTGTCAGCATTGCAGATATGATACTGAAAAAGAAGAATGAGAAATGTCAGATCTATAGAATATTTTATATGTGAAACATTTAGACTACACCAGAATTTATTGAAGCTTTTATTATGAGGATGATTGCTTTATTCATTAAGATAGAAAGAATGATGAATATTATTCATAACTACTGAAGAAGCTGAGAGCAACTCAGAAACAAAGTAACAGCAGTAACAAAAAATATTAATCAAACAAGAAAGAAAAGCTTACACCAAAACTGAAAAAAGAGTCAAGCTGGAAAATACTAGAATTTAAGAAACATGAAGAGAATGTCATGAAAAAATTAAGTCTTATAAAAAGTGAGATACTTGAAAAGAGAAAATGTCTGACAGCAAGAATATTATGAATCTGAGATAATCAGCTGCACTAAATAACATGTAAAGAAGATAATAAATTATTAGTAATAATAATGTGTAAACAGTACTAAAGTGAAAAATAAAAAAAGATAAAAGAACTAAATCACTCTTGCTATAATAAATTTAAGTATGAATGCTAATGCAAATTCCATAAAAACAAGAGATTTTGAAAAATAGTAAGATTCCTGCATGATTTAGAAGAATGTGAAACCTGTGCAGAATGCAGAGATAATAAGTATGTGTGGAGAATATACAGAATCTGGTGTACTAACAAAGAAAATTGCATGATACATAATCAGATACTCAAGATAACTCTTGTTAATTTGGGAAATGAGCAGGCTGCTATAAATGAGAGTCTGTATGCAGCATAAATAGATAAGTAAAACTGTTAGCCATCAATAGACAAATCTGTTATCTTAGAGTTATAATAATCTTACTTGGATGTTATGAATTCTGCAGCACAACAACAAAATACACAGAATGATTGGATGACACCTGACAAGACAGAATCACAGATTATCACAGAAGAATCTTAAGATGAGAATCACATGACCAGTAATAGAACTGATAAGCTAACTGATTGCACTGAGCACAATAAAATTGACCAGAGAACATAGCAAATATATTACAGTAGAATGGATAGAACAGCTTAGCAGAACTATCACCAGAGAAGCATTATATATATAAGAATGCTCATTACCAGAGATTTAATAGACTTGTTCATTATGATTAATCTTCTTACTTATCTACTAGAGATCTTTAAATCAGATACTTTCATATCTTGATTACTTTTCATACTACTGAAGTTCTGTAATACTGTACAACTGTACCTGATCTCACTACTCTTGAGAAGGCTCTATAGTCTTGCTCTGATTCTGTTACACTTGCATGAAAACTCTTTGTTATTAGAGCAAGACTGCCAGCTCAACTAGAGCACCATTGAACTATTGATTACTATTTTAATCTGTTATTACTTACTGTGATACTTTTTGACCCTAATGATTCAAGAGTGTCACACAAATATATAACATATTGATTACTTCTGACTCAGAAGAGAATACACCTGAGATCTCAGAGATTATATACAAAGAAAAAACTTTCTATATCATATTAAAAGATAAAGGTACAATTCCATCCCATATCAAGATCTAATAAAATATAGAAACTATGTCTGCATTGAAAGCACCAGCTATTAATGCTCAAGATCTTATAAATAGAATCTTGCAGCTTGAACAGATTATCAAGAAACTTGAAGAGCAGAGCTGTAAATTGAAAAACTATAATAAGCAGCTTGAGGTCCAGATCATGATCATCTCATTCACTAGATAACAGAAAAAGAAAGATAAAGCTAAAGTTAATTTATCAGAACTCTTCAAGAGTAAGTGAGAAAAATTACAAGCTTTCTTGAGTCAACTATACATCTACATGAATATAAAAGACAAAGAACTCAACAGCAATAAAGACAAGATAATAATAACAGTATTATATTTTTATAGAGGAGTATTCAATTGGTTTAACATCTATCTGCAGAATTACTACAAAAAAGATAAAGATAATCAGAATGATAACATGCTCAAGATCATTAATAATTATAACATCTTTATTCAGACATTGAAAACCACTTTTGAAGAAGTTAAGAAATGAAATATAGTGGCTCAGCAGCTACATTATATATAATAAAAGATATCACTACAAGACTATACTATAAGGTTCCAGCAAGTCTGTGTCAATACTGATTAAGATAATGAAATCTTAGCTAACACTTTCTATCAAGAGCTATTTGATGAGATTAAAGACAAAATAGCACAATTGGAAAGATGACCATGCACTCTGACCAAAATGATTGAAGTGACAATTAGAATCAGAAATCAACTTTATGAATAAAAGATGGACAAACAAGAAAAAGCACTATAAAAGAGAGTCAGTCTATTAAATTATACAGAAAATTAAGGCTAGAGCAAGCAAGTACAGCTGGATTCTTATAAACACACACTCATAAAGCTGAATATGATGAAGTTTGACACTTTTGATAAGAAAGAAAAAGAACAGAGAAAAAAGAAAAAACTATACTTCTATTATATCAAGCCAGAATATCAAGCAAGACAATGTAGAGTAAAGAAAACAGATTAAAAAAACAAGAAACTCAGAGCAATCTTAAAAGAAAATGAAGAAAACTCTGAAGTGAAACAGTATCTTCAAGTAATAACTTAGAAAAAGCAAACTGAAGAAGAACTTCAATAACAGTTCAGAAAGATATTTAAAGATTAAATTATGAAAGCTTATCAGAAGTTACTTCAGCAGTCAGAAAGTAAATCAAAGTGCTGAAGCAAGCTGAATGATGAAAAATAGAAGTTATGTGAAGAACTATGTATGAGAACAAGAAATGAATCAAGTAATGATTGAAGAATTTGACTACTTGACTGTAAATATTATTATGAACAAAAAATGGATGAAATTCAAGATTTAAAATACAAGAAATATGCCTAATACTTAATTTATGGATATTTATGTGAACTTCATCAGAAACAACAAGAAAAGTTCAAATAATAGATATAAGTTACAGAAGACTTTATATATTATAAAGATTATAACTGCAACATCAAAAATTAGCAGTGTTACAGATGCAATACTGAGAAAGAAGAATAAAAGATGCCAGATCTACAGAATATCTCATATATAAAATATTCAGACTGCACTAGAATTTATTAGAGCTTTTATTACAAGAATAATTGCTCTATCTATCAAGATGAAAAGAATAGCAGATATTACTCATAATTATTAAGAAAGTTGTGAGCAATTCAGAAACAAGACAACAGTAATGATGAAGAATATTAGTCAGACAAGAAAGAAAAGCTCATACTGAAATTAAAAAAAGAACTAAGCTGGAAAATACTATAATTTGAGAAACATGAAGAAGATATCATGAAAAAATTAAGTCTTATAAAAAGTGAGATACTTGAAGAGAAAAAATGCCCAATAACAAGAATATTACAGATTCAAGACAACCAGTTGTATTAAATGACATGTGAAGAAAACAACAGATTATTAGTAATAATAATGTGTGAACAGCACTGAAGTAAAAAACAAAAAGATATGAAAGAATCAGATTACTCTTGCTATAATAAATTTAAGTACAAATGCTAATACAAATTCCATAAAAACAAGAGATTTTGGAAAATGACAAGATTTCTGCATGATTTAGAAGAATATGAAATCTGTGCAGAATGCAGAAACAACAAGTATATATAAAGAATACACAAAATCTGGTGTACTAATAAAGAAAATTGCATAATACACAAACAGATACTCAAGATGACTCTTGTTAACTTGAGAAACAAGCAGACTATTATAAATGAGAGTCTGTAAGCAGTATAAATAGGCAAGCAAAATTGTTAGCCACTAACAGATAAATCTGTTATCTCAGAGTTACAGTAATCTTACTTGAATTAAAGTGTACAATAGTCTTAGTAAACTCAGAAGCAACTGGACTATTTATTGACAGAAGATTTACTGAATGAGCTGGTATTGTAAAGTAAATGAAGAAATACCTCTACCAGTTATCAGAACTAGAAGAAGAAACTTTAAATAAAGTTAAAGAAGAGACATATCTTATTAAAATAAGAATAGAACAACATTATAAGAAAGTGTGTTTTGAAGTGATGAATCTAGAGAACTATAATATAGTCTTGAGATACTCTTGATTGAAATAACATAATTCAGAAATTAACTGATAAGAAGAAAAGATTAGGCTGATAAACTGTGGATGCTCTCTTGAACCAGAAAGCTATAATCAGAGACTCACATTCAGAAATAACTTAAGTAAGATACTGGCTGTAATAAGTCAGGTTAATCAGAAGATATCATGTGAAGAACAATCAATCAACATCAAAAAGATTTATAAAAACTCAATCCATAATCAAAAAGCAGATCAAACTATAAAGAACTTCAACAACTTGGCACAGCTGTAAGTACAAAAGAATGACCAGAATGAAGAAATCCAAAAGACTCTACCAGAAGAATTTTGAGAATACATTAATATATTCAGAAAGAGGAATTGGAGCAACAGCTTACTAAAGTACAAATTCTGAAATCATGAGATAAAGCTACAAGAAGAAAAACAACTGATAAAACTGCTAATATACAGGTTGAATGAAAAAGAATTAGCTGAAGTAAAGAAATATATCAAGAACAATCCTCAGAAAGATTATATAAGAGAGTCAATGTCACTAGCAGAATACTCAATACTGTTTGCACTAAAGAAAGATGGAACTTTACAATTATATGTGAATTACAGACAGTTAAACAGCATTACAGTCAAAAACTGTTACCAGATACTACTGATTAAGAAAGTGCAAGACAGACTGAGGGGAGTAACATGGTTTACTCTAATTAATATTAAAGATATCTACTATCAGATACAAATTAAAGAAGATGACAAATGAAAAACAGCTTTCAGAATATAATATAGACTGTATGAATACAATATCATGTCATTTGAACTTATAAATGCACCAGTAATATTTTAAGCACTAATTAATAATATACTGTGAGAGTACCTAAATGACTTTGTCATTATATATCTTGATGATGTGGTTATATATACTAAAGAAGACTGAAAAAATCACACTGTAAAGATCAAGAAAGTACTAGAAAAACTATGAAAGTACAATCTATCAGTAAAATTAAAAAAGTGTGACTTTCATAAGAAACAAATTAGATATCTTAGACATATTATATTAATAAAAGAAATACAGATAAAGCCAGGAAAAATTAATGAGATACTACAGTAGCTGACATTAAAAGAAGTTAGAGAAGTGCAGATGTTTTATGAACTAGTAAACTACTACTGATAATTTATACATGAATTTTCAAAGAAAGCAAGATTACTTATACAGTTATTCAAGAAAGATAAACTATTCAAATGAACAACAGAGTGCCAACAAGTGTTTGAAGCAATAAAAAATAAATTCAGAAAAGAAGAAATGAGAAGGCACTATAACTCAACAAAAAGATATATAATTAATATAAATGCATCAGATTGCATAATAACAGGAAGACTACAATAACCAGATAAACAAGAGAGATTAAAATTAGTTACATGCTATACAAGAATGATGACACCAGCTGAACAGAACTATAATATTTACAATGAAGAACTACTAGCAATAGTAGTGTTACTGAAGAAATGGAAGATTGAACTGCAAGAAAACTAACATCAAATAGAAATTATCTCAGATCACAACAATCTATAATACTTTATGATGATAAAAGAGCTTATAAGAAGACAAGCCAGATGATATACAGATGTACTAGTACACTACAACTTCAAGATAAGATACTGCAAAGATATGAAGAATGCCTGAATAGACACACTAAGCTGAAAACCAGATCTAATGAAAAAAGAACAAGATTCAAGAACACTCTTTAAAGAATTAAAAGGAACAAAGAATATGATTCTGGACTAACAGACATTAAGAGTGACAAGAATTATTATAGAAGAATTGGACATTAAAGAAAAAATCAAAAAAGCAATAAGAAAAGATGAATATATAAGAAAGATTATTAAAGAAAATGAAAACTTCAAGAAAGAAGATGAAATAATACTATATTATAAACTAATATATGTACTTAAAGAAATCAGAAAACAAGTGATGATACAAGAACATAATATAGTTACTTCAGAACATTTTAGAACTGACAAGACAATAAAGAAGATTACAAGAACTTACTATTAGCCAGAAATGTGGACAGATATTCAACAACATATTAAAGAATGTGAGATGTGTGCATGAAGTAAAGCTAACAAATACTAATTATATGGAAAACTGCAACCAATACCACAACTGCAAGAACCATGAAAATCTATAGTAATGAACTTCATCACAAAACTTCCAAACTTAAAGAATATGGAAGGGAAGAAGTACAACTCAATACTAGTAGTTATCAACAGATTGATAAAATATGAATATTTTATATCATTTAGAGAGGCAACAACAGCACCAGGTACAGTAATAATGGTGCTATAAAATGTACTTGCCAACCACAGGATGCCAGAAGAGATAATTATAAATTAAGACACCAGATTTATAAGCAAATTCTGAACAACATTAATAGCACAACTGGAAATCAAACAAAAAATGTCAACAGTCTACTACTCACAAACAGATAAACAGACAAAATGATTAAACTAAATCTTGAAGCAATATTTGTAAGAATATGTCAACTATCAACAGAACAATTAGATTATGCTACTGCTTATGACATAATTAACTTATAACAGAGTAATGAATGCCACTACAGAGATGATACCATTCTATATAAACTACAGCAGAAAACTGGAAATACAGAAATAATCAAGAATTGCACAACAAAAAGCTCAAGAAGTAGAACTTACAGCAATACAACTACAAGAACTACAGAACCAGATAAGACTAGACATTGAATTTCTGAATGAAAGAATGAAACACTACTATAATAAAAGATGCTAGAAGGCACTAACTCTGAAAGAAGGAGAAAAAGTATTTCTAATTTGATGGAACATCAAAATCAAAAGATCTAGTAAAAAACTCAATTTCAAAAAATTAGAACTATACAGAATCACAAGACAGATTGAAAAAGTTAATTACAAACTCTAGCTACTTAAA